ATCAATGACCCAGGATGTGTGGGTAGAAATATGGACCCGGCATTTTGAATCTCTTCCTCATCCTAACATGTAGGTCTAATCATTCACGCGTCATGTCCTCGCTTTTATTACCCAGAGACACTCCGTGGTAAATCCCAATAGAGCGCAAAAGCACAGCGCTGAGCTATTTTGTCTATGGGTGGATATTGTAAACGCTCTGGATTTAAGAAAAAGGAAGGTTACATCTCAATAGATGTTCTTACTAGTCTTAAAACAAGACTGTGGCATGGTGGTCTTAAGGTGCATTCTACGTAAATGTTATAACATCGGTATGGATCAAGACAAGTAGTAACAGGACATCCCTCAATTCTAAAATACAAATAAATGAAAGAAAAAGTAATCTTGGACTGCAAAATGCTGAAAAGCGGAATGAAGCTAGATCTTCACCAGGAGCGAGCCTATGCTAATAACATCAATAACAATCACATGTTGACATCACCACCGGCAACACAGCGCTGATCGCCACGCATCGCCGCACCATCGTCAGAGGCGGTAAATATTTCATCAGGGATGCAGATGTGTCAATTAAAGCTTTGTAGAGACACAGCTAGAACCCTCAACTGACTCCTTGCTTTATTTGTCTTTAAGCTTCTCCGCATAGCTCAGGGATATTCTCATTAGCACATTAATACAACACACGTGAGAGGGACACACGAGACAGGAACCCAGGTGGGGAAAAATGAAAGTGGTGCTTTTGGAGGCCGTGCGTCACGTCATGTGACCCAGCGTAGGAGGTTTGGCCCAACTTTATGTGGCTAATTCCATCGTGAGCTGATATCTACAGACACTGAATTAGCACCAACCGGTAATTTCAAATAAACAATTCAATAAATATTCTCACATTGTATTTAAAGAACTTAAAATCCAAATACAGAGACTTCCTTTTTAACAACATTTTTTATTATCCACGCTGATCAACTGCTCTCTTAATGACTAGCCACTCTCCAATGTATTATTGCAGCGCCTTCAGTACCATGGGTCTGTCGTAGTAAGCCTCTCAGGGGGAGAAAAAAAACGTAGACATCCTTCTATGAATTATTAAAAGAGCTGGCGCTAATTTATTTAATGAATTAAGAAGAGTCCGGTGGGGGGTATTTCAATAATGGAGCACTGTTAGTACTGTTTTAATAAGGATGGCACACACTGATTGGGTAATTACATCTCAACTCTCCCCATGCTGCTTCACTGGGGCCACAAGAGGAGGAAGCAGTGTGACAGTGGAGAAGTTGTCTGGCTTCTATATTTATCATAAAACACACATCATGACATGCAGTCCTACTCACCGGCCTCCCATTAGGAGTGGAATTGGGTTGTCCCTCGCAGCAGTCAAATGAAAGGGTTATAGGATAAATGAGTGGAGTGCACAATCCATCAACAAGCCAATGTTTGTACACGTGAAACTGCCTTCATGCGCACATTGTGTATACTTGCCTTCATTTTTGATACATAAAGGAGTTAGGGGAAAAGTGCTCAAAGAATACACATATGTATATATATATATATGTATATATATATATATATATAAATACATATGTTATATTTTATGAAATCACATCAGTAGAAAGTCAATTTAGATATATAAACTTGGTAAAATCATTTTAAAATAAAAAATGTATGTACTGTATATCTATCAGTTGAATGTGTACTCATCTTGTCTAGTAATTTCTCAATAATAATATACACATTCATACTTTTTCCGCTTGCAAGCCTAAAGTAACAAAGATGGTCATTGTATTAATTCTAATCCAACCACGATGAATCGGCGAGGCCGACTTCACATAAAACACGCCAAGCAGTGACACTAAAAGGTAATGTCCGATAACAAATGTTTATGATTAGACTACAATGCAACCCAATAAAGACACTCGTATCGTGCTGTGGCTGGTTTCCAAGGACTCCTGACACTTAATGATGCATTTTACCTGCAGAAAGGAAACATTAGACATCTGTCGTACAAAGACTTGAAGCACCAGTGACTTGACATCTTGTGTCGCAGTTATCGAACAATTATCCACTAAGCAACATTTTTTGTCACAGTAGGTGAAATATGACTTATTTATGTGCTTATTTATTGCAGTTCAAAGAATATATTTGAATAAAATTGCTAAAGCAATATAAAAGCTATTCTTCACAACTAAATAGTTAACATCATGAGCGTTAATACATGCATTAATGCAACACATTTAATAAATGTGATGCGTTCAAGAGAATCTAATGCATGAAGACATGCAAAACACAACCAATTGTGAAGGGAACCTAAGAACAAATAACTATGTTTCCATCCTACATAGTTTATAGTTTACGTGCATGTTTACTATGACTAATAAGACCTAATGAGAACGGAACATGACTGACATTAACATCTCCAACACCAAAGTCAAAGATTAGAGCATCAGGATACTAGTCTATAAGTATTTACTTTATATAGAAGGTTAGACTGTTACTAGTCAAAACCAGTTTTCCGTCATCAGCAAGGTGAATTACATCCGTCAAACTGGTGTGTTATGGAAGTGAGGAGAGGAACGAACAAAACATTCAACACCTGTGGGATGAAGGGACAAAAAGCCATAAACAAATCTGTACATTTCAAACGCACATTGTACCAAATTGTGAGATGTATTGCTGAGCTAAAGCATCAAGCACTTGTTAAACTGCAAGAATAATAAAAGGGTCCAGTGTGGAAAATATTAAATTACGTGAGCCATAAGATTACAGTAAATGTGTCTAACCTCATATAGGGTAAGAGAAGTGATCAATCCTGCAAGTGCTTGATTCTTAACACTTCTGCCACTTAACCCCCCCCCAAAAAACAGAAGGGCCATAAAGGAAAGTATATTGAGAGAGGGAGGAAAATAATCAGTCCTCAGCAAAAATGCCAGGCTTGGTTATGAATTTTTTAGAAAGCATTAAAGCCCACTGCCCTCCCCTGGCGCTTATCTCGCCGTTCCAATAGCTTGCAGTGAGACAAGAGAGGAGAACGAGAAAGAAGAAGACCGGCGATGAGGGAGAAGGAGAGACAGAAAGAGACTGTCTATAATGCGAAGGGAGGGGGGCTCCATCGGTCCGGGCCGGGCCTGTAATGGGACCAGATCCCGATCAATAGAGACGCTCCTCGGGCCATTCGTAGGCGTAATGACTTTAGGTTTCTCAATAATTAAGATATTGTCACTACGCTGACTGCAGGGTCAGCCAATCATTAACCCCATGTTAAATATGCCTTTGTTTTAATTGCTTTGCCTTAACTCCTCCAGATACGCAGGCATGAAAATTAAAGGGACGGCAAGCCTTCTTCTGTATGCGTGCAGGAGAGTCAGAGAGGGAGACACGGGGAGAGAAAGGAGCCCTGAGGCGTAGATATATGTTTGCTGTTAAGATGTCTGTTTTCAGCACATAACCACCCAATTAATTGTCTCTATTTTTAGTTTTTGGAATAGATTTTTTTTTTCTTTTATCAACTGTGCTGTGGAAAAACTTCCTGTTCTCTTTAAATATAAAAGGTATACTTCTGGAGCTGCGACATGAGACGAAATCAACCTATTTTCTTTTCTTTTGAACACTCCCTCTATTGAGCGAATTCTTACGGAGGTCGCGTCACCCGATTCTCATTTGAGCGTTTCAAAGGCAGTGCGAGCACCGCACATTGTCTTTCAAAAATTCCGGGCAGCGAGGCCGAACGTGGGAGCCAACGGTGGTAAAAGAGGGTCGCCGAGCTCTTCTGTCACATCGGCACAGCCTACTCAGACAGTAATATTCCGACCTCACTTCCCCCATCCCGGCAATCACACCCAGCCATTCCCGCCCCAGCTGGGTGATGAGAAACAATGAATTTATATCCGACGTGCTGCCATTCTTTTCTCTCTCCCCGACACAAAGTCCCGTGCTCCCCTCACTCCCCGCGGCTGCCTTGCCATTGGCGGCTGGTAAATGGACTAAAGCGCCACTCAATAGGCCGATGCACTCCGTCAAGGCGAGGGGGCTTGACCTTTCCTGGCGTGGGGAAACGCAATTCATATCGGCCCCAGACCAGCTGCCCGCTAAACGAACATCTCATCCAATTTCCAGACGCTTGCAACACAAAAAACAGGAGTGGGGGGGTGGGGGTGGTGTGTGCTGGGTAGGTGGGGTTGTGTTGCGGGAGAGGGGCTTGTGGGCAGGGAAGTCCTGATGGATTTTAGATTGGTTTCTCAATTTCTCTTCACTCAGGAGAGGTGGGCGAGAGATGAGACAAAGAGGAAAAACAAACATCAAATATGTGAACGCAAACACAAGCGTGTGCACACACACACGCACACACACACAAGGTTGCTTTAAATGACCTCTTGATTTACTGATTATTTATTTACTTGTCGGGCTGTTTATTATGCCGACTTGTTAAATGATTTCATGGGATTTCACTTGATATATCGGACTGCACCATTTTTTTTAAATCTAAATCATTAACAACAGACAGGCTATTAATGAAGGACCACCAAGAGAGACTGTTACTGGGGAGACTGCATTCCCCCAGGATTTACTCATGACAAACACACAAACACGATTATAAGAACACAAATGAACACGGGGAAACCGACAAGCACGCACACACACACACACACACACACACAGTGGGCTCCACTCACTGGATGCGCACACACACTCGCGCAACCATTTGTTCAACGGAAGGTGTTTTAGTTTGTATAGTGGCTCATTCAACACTTGGTTTCTTTTAAAGCGCGATCATTCATTAAATAAAAGAAGTTGGTGCGCGCTGCAAAAAGGCAGAGGAAATTAAATGCAGGATCTGTCATCATATTCGCATGCGATGTAAGAGAGTCCATTTGGATGCAAGGCAAGCAAACTGTCTTGAGAGAGAAATGAGGATGTGCCCCGACTATGTGCGTGTGTGTGTGTGTGTGTGTGTGTGTGTGTGTGTGTGTGTGTGTGTATGTGTGTGTGTGTGTGTGTGTGTGTGTGTGTGACAGATAGACGGAGAACTAAACACACACACATACTCAAACAGAAATCAAAAGAAATGTATTTTGGGCATCAACAGAACGCCGTGGCCTTAAAATCATATCAATTCCCTTCTCTTTCTTGAAGATGGTCCAATTAATTGGACCGCTGTCTCTTACCATAAACTGTGTTTTTACACACATTTTATACATATATTTGTTCGTCTTGATTTTCCTTCCTCCTTTTCCTTTTTGCAGTTTGAATAAATATTTGACTTTACATATATTATTTACCAAATACTTGCCTCATTTATTGAGTGGAAATAATGTGTGATGCAATTCAATTTTGTCATGGCTGATGTACATTTTACCATCGGCTGCAGGCGATGTCACAGACCTCGGTGGATGTGTTAGTGAGCGCTGTTACAAAGACGGCTTTGCCGAGGCATGCAGACAAATGCACTTACGCATAAACAGAGACACAAACAAGCACACAAACACACACAGGGACAAGGAGGTAAACAATTCCCTCTTCTTAGAGCTAGAGTGATATGTTTTTTTGTGTTTTTTTTTTAGATCAACAACTAGTATTGGTGATTTGGCGCCCTTGGACACGGCAATGTGTAAGCAGTGTGTCCTTAAACTGTGAGTACACCAAATGAGCACTAAGCCAGATACGGGGACACTGCGCCCGAGGTCTCTTGGGTGCGTTGCTTTTCCCTGTAGTCCTGTGTCTGCCCGGCAATGTCTGCACGGCAGTCTTAAGGCCTGGCCCAATTAAACTAAACATTTCGAGGGCCTTGGGCCTCGGGCTCACCAGGGATTCAACGTGTCGTCCCTCCATTCACAGACATGTGGCCTGTAAGAAAGACGGCCCATGTGGGATGATGTAACCGTTGTACGTTTCAGTGAAATATTCCCCATTTTCCACACTCTAATTGTATGTATATTATTCTTATTACTCAAGTATCAATGATACCTGTTTTAGAGCAAATCTCCTGGTATTCCTGGCGGTAGTGATGGCTGGGATGTGGGTTGGCCACATGGATGGAGATCAGATTTCCTGCACCCGGCAAAAGCAAACACAGCTAGTCGGCAGTGTCTGCCGTGCATCCCTGGCGTCCCACGGCCGGCCTGAAACCAATTTAGCAGCCCAGGGTGTATGGAGTGAACCTCTGCCCTCCCTCCCCTCTTTTCTTTTACCAATCCATTCGTCCCTCTCCTCTCCTCTCTTTCTCTTCTCAATTGTCCTCTCTCTAAGCGTAGCTCTTTGAAAGACACCCTAAGACAGAAAGTGGGGGGGGGAGGGGGGGGGGGGGGATTTGGGCATGAGAAGAGGGGAAAAAGAAGGGAAATGGTTCTCTTCTTTCTGAAATCATGCTCTGGACAGTCTGGAGAGGCCCGGTATGTTTGGATTGGCATGGCGGCTGGCAGACGACAGGAGGAGGTGGAGCAGGAGGAGAGTTATAAATAAACATTTCAACAGGGCTGGGGAGAGGTGTCGGCGGGCCCCGGGCCACGGGCCTTCTCTGGGCTCGTTGGCGCCCCTCCAGGTCACATTACACGAGTAAGCTGCAGCACCTCAACACACTGCGTGTGTGTGTGCGTGTAGTTGTGTGTTGAGTGAGATAGAGGGAGAGATGGACAGGAGAGACTCAATGAAGGCCCCAAGATGCAAACCACAACTAACATATTACTACAAGATCTAAGTCTATGGGAAGTCCTCATTCATTCATGTCTATTAAACAAATGTTTTTTAATGTTGCCTGAACATTTTATTACATATATACGTTTTGAAAAGTTATTATTTCATACATGATTTTTTCCTGATTTTAAAATATATCAATAATAGGACTAAAGCCAACTAAAGTGAAGATCTTTTTTTCAAGCCATTATTAGTGCATTACAAGTGTGTTGGACCACACTTTCTTGCGTGCAAGAAGCACTCTCCATGAAGAGGACCATAAGACTTGACACCAAATCCGTGTATGGATGTCTGCTTTTACACATTCATGAAACTCTAAACAGTATTTTGCACAGATTCGTCACTATATTGTGGAGAAATAAGATGATAAAAATGAAATGTTGCGCTTTAGCCAAGCACTTAACTGGCATTTTGAGAGAAGCCACATGCGTAAAGTGCTATACAGCGAATCCAGTCCTGGCAACAAGAACAGACGGCCGGTACTTTGCCCGCCTCTGCCCAGACTGAGAGCTGTGGATCTGGGCACTTGACTAAGAAACCTTTGGCAGCGATGCACTACTTCTGGGTTTAGGAAGGGATTTCAACGTAAGGTGTGGCCTTAGGAAAGGTTAGAAGAAAGTTATGTACTGTTTCTGTATGTACAGATGGTGTCTGCATGGGATGGATGCCCCGTAAAAGTGAAAGTCCCTGTAAGAAAATGTGTGTAAGTACACGCTATATATTATGACATCTGTGCAGAATTCTTTGTCCAATATAAATCTGCAGGCTCCCAGATGATTTTCCAGCCAATCAGGCCTCAGCGCTCCCCTCGAGTTCTGCTGTGTAACTCAGGCTCACGGTTGATGGGGCAGATCCCACAGTTCTGCTATAGGACATTTTGGTTTTCAAGTTACTTATTGCAGGAAGATTTTTATGGTTGTACTTTGGCGAGAGAACTGGTGCTTTTGGCTTGAGCTGCCCACATCTGTTCTCCACAGGGCTTCTCTTGAGCCTTGGATGCAACCTCTCAAAAATTGGGTATTGTGACCAGACTTAGGAGAGGACAGCAACCAACAGTAAGGAAATGTAGTATCCTGCAGAATCAGCCTTTGTTGTACTCCATGCGTCACCGGGGGCGACGGGATAGAGAGGGTGCGCTGGGAACCGCAAAGTTGGTGGTTTGAACCCCGGCTGCTACGTGTCCCTGAGCAAGACATCCAATCCCAAACTGCTCCACGGGCAAAATGTAAAAAAACACAGGTTAAAAATGCAATTTAAGCCGCAATGTAAGTCGCTTTGGATAAAAGCGTTGGCTAAATGTAACTATGGTGTGTATTTGGTGTGGTGCAACCATTACAGCTTACTTTTGGGACTTCTTGAACACATTAGGGCTTCCATGAAAAAGCCGAAATAATAAAATACAATTTAAAAGGGCTAAAAACAGAGAAACTATTACGGGGAATGGTGGATCCAGCTGCATTTCAGATTAGGATAGGAGGGACAAAGAGACGGGAAAGCGCTCTCAAGAAATGAGAAACCTCAAAGAGAAATGAAGTCAGAGCCTCTTCTAAGTCAGATCTCTTTTAAGTCAATTGTGGTTTTGCTGCACAATTCACTATAAACCTGGAAGAGTCCATTGGGGCTAGTTAGCAGATCCCACTGATATGACTGGAGCTGGGTGGTTTCACCACATGTTTGGCCAGGGGTGAAGGGACTCATAAACACCTTAAGGCAGCATGGGGTGTTAGTGTGTGAGTGTGTGTTCATCCACCTGGAGGGGCTACACAGTCTATAGTGTAAATGGATACAAAAAAGTCAGACAACCTTTAGCCAAAAGGCAAAATACAACAGAAAATTCTTTCGGTGTTGGGGGACCGCCGGAGCACCCAAAGGCAACCCACAGGAACAAGGAAAGAACATGCAAACTCCCCACAAAGAAGTCTTTTCCAGACTGGATATCGAACCACCAAGTGTGAGTGCAACAAAAAAAACGATAACAAAAGAACATAAATGAATTTAATGGTGAAATGAATTGATTGTTTTGCTCGTATCATACACTGAAACCATTTTTCTCTGCACAGTTGAAGAGGGTAAAAAAATAACTTCATTTTATGGTCTAGGGGTTCACCTTTCCACACATATACGTTATGACACGTCTATGTTTTCTCCCTTTTTTGTTCATTCAGAGAGAGAGAAATTGGGATAGAGATAGGGGGAGGAGAAGCCGTGCAATACTATTACCATTTCCTGTTTCTGTGGAGCCAGAGGTCTTCAGGGATCGAGCTGAGAAGAGTCCTGGCAGCCTGTCGCCGCTGATGGGCCAAAACATACCGTGGAAGGGGAAGAAAAATCATGAAACCTGCCTGCAGAGAAACCACTTTTAAATAATTCCAACACAATGCTTGGAGCCCTTCTTAGACACCACCAACGTTTAATAAGAATTTAACTTAAAATCAGATTAGGACCAAAAATAATTACCGGAATGGCTTCAGATTGTGGCTCCTTACTGTAGCCAAAAAAAAGTATTTTCCTCTAATATTAGCTCTCTGTATTCTCTTTGTTGTACAGTTTTGGATTAAACTGGTTGACTCAAAATACTTCTACCTTTGCAACAGTAAAACAATGTTTTTGTAATTAAATGTTTGTATCATTTCCAGAAAATTCTTAAGCAAAATTTATTTTTATAACTAAGTATTTTACACTGCAGCTTTACACTATAAACACACATAATATTACACCACAACATGATTCCATATGAAATTAGGTTCAGTATCTACTTCTGTATTAACCAAAAGCTCAAACAAATCTGAATATTGGCACATTAATGTTCCAACACTAAGGCTGCAGAAAGAAAAACCAATCTAGCCTCTTTGGCAGCAAACTGAATAATCTAATTATTTGTGTAGAGACTATGATGAGTATTTTCTTGGCACTATGTGGATTTCTTGAACTTTTAACAACAACATATTATTCCCCAAATGACTTAGATGTATAAAGATATCTCAAACATTACTAAGGCATCAGGTACATGTTAACTTAAACTGGAAATCTGTCTACTGGGGGGATCAGTTGTGTAAACAAATAATGTCAAATAAGAGGTAAATGTTAAGGAGCCCCTGTAACCCCCAGCCCACCCTGTGAGAGACCCCCTCCCTCCCGTAGCGGTGCTTCCCAACGCAACCTCCAGACGGCCAGCACGCTGTTCTCCTGTCAGGTTCAAGCTTTGAGGCCCAGAGAAAACAAACTGGCTGTGATTGTGAAAATAGTGCCGTAGGGCCCTCCTGGTGCCCGCCGCTTATCTCGCACAAGGCATGCTTTGTGTACTGTGGGGGGCTCCTCGCTGGCCCTCAACCGCCGCACCAGGTGGAGGCTTCCAGGGTTTAACTCTCTTCCTACATCACCCCTTAACTACGTCACATTCTGTCTCTGCCCTCGTGCATACTGTGTCGCTTCCATCGGGCCCCACTGTGTATATTTTGAAGGGGGAAATTGATCTGCAGGCCCCCCGCTGCTCTGTGGGCAAATGCAATTCCTTAACAGTTGGAAATTATGAGACTCTCCAACCATGAAATGGCAAACATTATTTCAGTTTGACGTAGGAAAAATACCACACATTAAAGACGAGCATATATTTTAGCAATAGAACCAAACTGTATAGTGCCACTACATGTAATAGTAGACATTACTACTAATGCATACTGCAGCTTTCTTGTACCGCAGGTAGCTTTTCACAATGGTTTGCCTCAAACCCAAGATTAAAGTGAATTATGGTATTAATAACAGATTGGGTGCATGTGCAAAACTTCTTTTGAATTATTCTTGTATTTCTATTTGTATAGAAAAAGAAAAATCTTGTAACAAGAATACAGCACGTTGACACAATGGGATGTTACCGCTCATCGTCCCATTCATGTCCATCACTTATTTCCTGTGTGTATTATTCACAAGCTACTTCATTTGGAGTTGATATTTGCCGACCCTGTGGACGATGTGGATGGTGTTTTTTTTTTTTCGAGCACGGTTGTCTGTTTCAAATCCTGTCATTTACCTCTGACAGTCATCCCCCGCTCAGTACTGTTTTCGGGTTCTCCTGTTTCTCCCTTCTCTCCGGCCGGCCCTGCAATACGGCCTGAGGCTACAGCAGTGGTGTGTTGGTGTTGGCTCCCACCCAGACAAAACCAGGCAAAGCTCCACTCCAGGTCGGAGGAGGAAGCCCTGCATGCTGCCGGGTGCCGAGCTCTCCTGATTCCCCCGGAGCTCCGGCTGCAAGTCAAACTCAGCGGCGAAGCCGGAACCGGGACCCCCGCTGTAGTCAAGGTGGAGGTGTTTTCTGGTAAACCTGCCTGATGTCAGTTGATTTTATGCACAATCCCTACTGTCTGGTATGAATGTGAAGCGTGAAGAATAACTACAATATTTAGCAATAGCCAACCGTTTTGGCCGATGGTCTTGTTTACCTAGGCAGGTCATATAGAAGTAGTGCATCGGGACTGTTTCATAACCTGTTAAAGTAACTTCCTGAGAGTATGACCACTAATTGGCCTGAAAAGCACAGCAGTACAAGCACCTCTGCAGATACGATGCAAGTGACTTTCTTTCCCTGAGTGCAGGCTGTAAAGCGGCCTCGAACAAAAACCCATCACTCACCTTTACCGCTTGATTGATAGTGCTTGTTGATGGAAGTACACACTCTTTAAACTGATTTGTATGTGGGTGGACAAAGTGTTAACTGTGGTTGCCAGTTTAGAAAAAGTGAGTCGTCCCTTACGCAAAGGCCTTATATAATACAAATGATGTCGCTGGTGAAGAAACTTGTGGCTTCAATTAATATCTCCTTCTACGAATGCTGAACATTGAAGTAAAAGTTATGCATTTGTTGAGAAAACCATGCTTTTTTAAATCAATCCCAATGTCCACTGAGGAGTTAGATGGCTGAACTTTACCTCTTACCACATTCCACAGCTGGCAACAATTTTGAAACAATTTCAAATTATTTTGATCATATTTTCTTCTCAAGTCTACTTGCGCTACTTTTTGCCGGTAATGCAGCAATCTTTTGTTTTTACCGTGCAGTTATGAGTTGATGCTTAGTGAAATAACAACAGCAGGAATCTATAATTGTCAAAATGATGTGTCTCTCTGATTGAGACCATAAATGTGATGAGTTCTTTTTAAAGAAAATCGGCAAACATTCAAATTGTTGATTAACGCTCATTTGAGCAACAGTTAACAGATATTCTCATTGAATCAAGGGTTGCTAGAGCTAATCCTAATAAGAATGTCACAAATTTCCACCACACTATCCCCCACTACACACACACACGCAGTAAATGAGCCTACGCATGCCAACTGTATCTAGAGAGCCCAATAGAACAAGTGGAAGGGAGTCAATGATGTAACCATTTATCCACTGCAGGACCAAACTGCCAAAGAGCAGAAGTTAAGATCAGAAATAAAATGCACCATTCAAGTATCACGAGTGCCTTTAAAAAAATGTAAATTTTTTAGTCAAGGTTCACATTGAAGCTTCCTGACCGTTCACATACACTGCAAAAGACCATCTTTGAACAAATGGGACATGATCCACGCCCATTCACAACCACCTGTCTCTGCACAGACACCTCAAAGATCCGCCTCCATGCTGTCACAAGGGTCACGTGATGACAGCTGCGCTATCTCCATACCAACTGAGCCAACTCCATCTGCTGAGGAAGGCTGGAGCTTTGGGGATCTTTCAACTGCATCTCTAAAAGTAACCATACAAAGCAAAAGGACGGTTTGTGGTGCTCTGTGTCTACTTCTAGGGTGGATGTGATCTATTAGAAGAACTTTCTGTAACCTGTAACCAGAGAAAAAATTATTCCACATGTTTACACTCTTTCCCCAACTTTTACCAAGAGTTTAAATAACCAAACTTATAACCACATATTGAAGGAGGTTTTCATGCCGGAAATGCATTCATAAAGGTCCTTTGTCGTTTTTGGTAAATTTAAGAGTTTATTCAAATATTAAAATGATGGGGTCAACAAGATTTAAAACTGCTTTCAACAATTTTAAACTGTTATTGTAATCAAAGAGAAATTGTTAGAGACAGGATTGTTCCTAACAACAAATGATTAATAAAACTTACGGTTGAGTTGAGTTATTTTTCCACAGACGGACTCACGTATGAGCTTTGTCGATGGGGGGAAAAACTCAGCCTTATGATTTAGTCTAATAGCAGTGATTTGCTCTGCTGGCAGCTGTATACACACAGATATAGAGTACCTTTACAATTCAGTCATTCATTCCACCAGTACACCAGTAGTGTGTGTGCGGGGGGGGGGGGTGTAAAATAAGTATGAACCTTACTTAAAAGTTTACACAAAATGTTTAGCCAACATCCAATTTCTGTCTGTCTGGTTACTTCTGGTTTGTTTTTCCACCTTATCCCAAGTGTATGAAATACAACGTTCAAATTTGTACCGATGCATAAGGGGAAACTAATATCTTCCATATGCAGCATGAAAACGCTGAGCTGAGCCTCGTCTGAGGTGCACGCTGCTGCACCAACCATATTTCAGTTGGAATTCATTAGAGAGTTGGGGCTACATTTTTCCTATGGAAACCAAGAGAAATGAGAAATTTGGATGAGGCCGTTTTTTCCAACGTCCTTGGAGAATGTGTAAGTGATCTGAGACGCTCGGGGTGGCGTCTGGATGAGCCCGGGTTTGGATCGGGACCCTGCATCTGCGGCACATGTGCCGTCAACAGGGACAGAAAGACGTGGACACAGAGCCAAAACCTCCCTCCTCTCGCAAAATTTTCTTTGTCTAAACTGAAAAAAAAACAATCTTCCCTGACTGTGCCACAAATCTGTAACTTTTTCTCTTTCCACCATCAAAATGTAGTTTTTAAACAACTCTTGTGGCAATGAGAATGGTGAGTAGAACAAAGCGACGTATAATCTTATTTGTTTAAGGAATGACGCTCTAGATGCTCAATTGAAAAAGGATCTCTGCCAAGATTTTCTCTGCGGGTTTAAATGTATTTTGTGGCGCAGAGGAAACAGAAACCAGCAGCGTACAGGACATGCAACGCTGCTAACGGCACAAAGAGTAAAACAATAGGGGAGAGATAAACAAAGAAAAAAATCTGTGGCTGTTGTGGTTCCTTGACTGAACCAGCCACATGTGGTCCCCCTTGCAGTGTCTTGGCATCTCTCCGGCCAGCCCTCCAATAGCAGCATCAGAAGGCCCAGGGCGGCCGACAGGAGTGTGACCCGGGATTATTGTCCTGTGTGCTTGTTTGGGTTGAGGCTTTAGATGGGGAA